AAGCAGCCCACATACCTGGGCTCTTTGCCCTAGGCCAGCAATCCTGTCAGTTCAACCTGGACTTCCGTAGTCACATCTTCACCAACTCTCTGCCTCCCTCTTTCAATGATAAGGACCTTTGTGATGACATCGGGCCCACTCGGATAATCCAGGATATTCTCCCCATTTTGGGATCCTTAATTTAGTCACATCTGCACATAGCCTTTTGCCATGTAAAATGGCTTGCTTACAGGTTTTGGGGATTAGGATGTGGTTATCATTGAAGGATTATCATTCTTCCTACCACAGGATATTTATTATCCCTTTAGCAGTTCACATCTCCAGCATCTAGATAGGAGCCATTTTTGTTTGCATGGGGAATATTTAGAGGGCAGTGAATCATAAGGAGAAGAAACACATAAAAAGTTTTTTTAGAGACTAACAACAAGCACCAAAGTGTGAGAAGACCCTCAGTGGTAGGAACCCCCAAAAGATCTCTTTAATCAATAAATGAATACATGAGAGGTATAGAAGTCCTGGATACCATAAAATTTTAGTTATCTGGAACCTCAGGGAATACCTTTTCTAGAGAGATTATCCCTTACCAGTCAGAATTTTTAAAAATACATATAACTGGCCAGGTGTGATGGCTCACGCCTGTAGTCCCAGCACTTTGGGAGGCCAAGGCAGGCAGATCACCTGAGGTCAGAAGTTTGAGACCAACCTGGCCAACATGGTGAAACCCCATCTCTACTAAAAGTACAAAAATTAGCCTGGCGTGGTGGCAGGTGCCTGTAATCCCAGCTACTCAGGAGGCTAAGGCAGGAGAATCGCTTGAACTGAAGAGGCGGAGGTTGCAGTGAGCCAAGATCGCACCACTGCACTCCAGCCTTGGCAACAAGAGCGAGACTCCATCTCAAAAAACAAAAACAAAAAAACATATAAGTGACCTCCATGGCAAAAGCTCTGATATTTATTCTTTTGTCAAATCTCCACTTTAATTTGTATTACAGAAATACATCAGATGGGTAAAAAATTAAACTACAAATGAGCTCCTAGTGAAAAGGAATGTTCTCCTGCAACTCCTTCTTCTCTTCCTCCAGTCTGACTCCTCAGAGGCAATTACTTCTGATGATTTCTGTTCCTAATTCATTTTTCAGGTCACCCCCAAATCTCTAAATAATGTTTATTCATTTTCTAAAATTATCAAAAAATTAGACATTAACTACTGCGCTACTGCAAGGATTTATGTCACTTATACCACCCTTCCCTCCTCACACTACCCTGCACCCTGCAATCTCATGCTGTACTCAGTTTCTCCCTGTTGGCTCTGAAACTTAGTACCGTACACTTAGACCTACATTTCTTATTCTATTAGTGGGGGAAAGTTCTCTTAAATACACATCACACCTTTATTATCTTTTTTTATTTATCTTTATTCTTTAAAAAGTAATAATTAGAGGCAAATATCTTTTGGCTTTTCTTTTTATAAAATAAGAACACTTACACACCCACCCTGCCTTCCATTTCTCCCTCCCTTCTACTTCCCAGTATCTTACAGCTGTGCTTTCATATTGTCAAGGTTGATCATATTCCTTCTGAGACCTTAAACTCTATTCTGTAATGTTACTAAGATTGGTCTTTGCAGTAATTCTGAACATTGAAAAGACCCATATATGGTGTATATTGTTTAATTCTGTAAATATTGTACACTGCATAATGGAATAATATGTTAGAATTAAAATTCCTTCTCTCTTGGTTCGATCTCATGAGCAGAATACTACTGAAACATTTTTTCTAGAATCAAATAGATGAGAAAATTGATCTCTCCCTTTCCCTCCCAATTATGTATACTACATCTTCAAGTTTTTCTCAGTTTTCAGTCATTTCATCTCTTTTTCTTCTCTCCCTTCTCCCTTCCTTATGGAGAGCTCCCTCTTTTTCTAGACTCCCACACAGCTCTTACTCCGAGGCTCCACTCCCTTCACTGCTCTTCTGTGTTGCATCCACTCTTTTCTGAATTACATTTCTCCTCTTTCTTGCTTTATCTCCTCATTTTGCTAGAATTAAAATTTCCGAGTCATCAGATATCTGCAAGTTTCTGTATTGTTGCTACATATTTATTTTATGAGTTGGCTGCAAATAGGATTCACTTTAAATTGCTTTTTCCTAGGATTTGGAATGTATTTCTCCACTGATACCAGTCTGATTCCTGGGCTCTTAATAGGTGACCTGTTTTTCTCTTTGGAGGCATTAAACACCACCTCTTTGTTCTTGAAATTCAAAAATTTAACAATGATGGATCTGAGTGTAGGTGTTTTTTCTTCATTATAAAGGTGAAGTTTTGACAGTTTTCATCCAGACCCTCTCCATCCCCTCCTCTTAACTCTGTAATCTCATCTCAGATTACCACCTGGCTCAGCTTGCTCCGGCCACACTGACGTCCTCTTTCCGCGAACATGCCTGAAGGTCTTTTCACTGGCTATTCTTTGATATCGAAAGCTCTTCTCTCAGATATCTGCTTGGCTCACTCCCTTACCTCCTCAGAACTTTGTTCAAATGTCACTTTCTAAAATGGCAATCTGTTCTAACTGTCCCATTTAAAATTGTAATTCCTCTCATCCAAGCACTCCTAATTCTTTTATTCTGCTTTTATTTTCTTCATAGTTATCTATCACTAAATTGCATACTAAGTAAAAAATATGTGCAAACCCGTACATATATGTGTGTATGTATGTATATGTGTATAGGTTTGTCTTTGTATATGTGTATGTTTATGTATGTGTGTATATATTTATATTAGTTTGCTAGAGTTGCCAGAGCAAAATACTACAGACTGTGTGGCTTAAACAATAGAAGTTTATTTTATATTTTATTTATTTTTTTCTTTTCTTTTCTTTTTTTTTTTTCTTTTTGAGATGGAGTCTCGCTCTTTCACCCAGGCTGGAGTGAAGTGTTACGATCTCGGCTCACTGTAACCTCTGCCTCCTGGGTTCAAGTGATTCTCCTATCTCATCCTCCCAAGTAGGTGGGATTACAGTCGTCCACTACCACACCTGGCTGGTTTCGCCATGTTGTCCAGGCTGGTTTCACCATGTTGTCCAGGCTGGTCTCGAACTCCTGACCTCAGGTGATTCACCTGCCTCGGCCTTCCAAAGTGTAATCACGCCTGTAGGATTACAGGCGTGAGCCACCGCACCTGGCCTAGAAGTTTATTTTATCACAGTTTTGGACGCCAGAAGTTTGAGATGAAGACATCAGCAAGATTTGTTTCGTCTGAGATTTTCTTCATGGCTGGTAGATGGCTGTCTTCTCCCTGTGTCTGCTTTATATGGTCCTCCCCTGTAATTCTGTGACCAAATGTCCTCTTCTTGAAGGATCCCAGTCATATCCCATTAGGGCCCACTTTAATGAACTACTTTTAACTTAATTACTTCTTTATAGACCCTGTCTGTAAATATAGTCACCTTCTAAGGCACTAGGGGTTAGGACTTCGACTAAGGAATTTTGCAGAGAGACAGTTTAATTCAAAACATACTTAATTTTTTATATTCTATCTCCCCCAGCTAGAATGTAAGTTTCATGAGGTGAAAGATTTTTTACTGTTGTTCTGTCTATTGAGATATACTTACTACCTAGAACGATGCTCAGCATATAATAGATGGTCATTAAATAATAATGAATATATTATCTTTCTAGTAATCCTATTTGGATTTTGAACCTAAGTAATTGATCCACCTTGTCTCATTTTCAGTCAGTCTGTTACTGTTCTCCTTTTTGTGGAGAGGTTTCTTCAATCTTAACTTCCAAATACTTCTACAGAATATTCTTTATTTTGGTAACCATATATTTAGTTTCTGAGAACTCTCTTCTTGATTCTTTTTCATGGCATTCTGTTACTGTTTTATGGATATTGTATCTTTGCTGATCTATCTGCGTTTAAGAGATCATATTTCTCTTTTGTCCCCTGAATTTTTTGTTTCTTCCTGTGTCATTATTGTTTATTTTGTTCTTTCTCTTACATATTGCTTAAGCATTTCTGATCCTTAATTATGTAACAATCCTTGGTTATGCATTTTTATTTAATAATGAGACAATAAAAGTCCTAGATGTGTATTTTAAGGACGAGACCTATTATCTGGTGATACAACTTTCTGAAGAGCTGACTGTTACTCCATAGGCTCTCTTCATGGTAGAGTGCAGAGATCTTTGATTTGGGTTCTAAAACTCATAGTGGCTGCCTTAGAAGTCTTCCCAAATAGTTTATTCAGCTTTCTTAGATAAAAACCTTCCAACTTTTTACCTGGTTGCCCAAATTGCAATATATGGAAGTATGGAATCAATGACTTCTTATGTATGCTTTTGTATGTATGCTTTGTTTTTACTTTTACTCCCATCGATTTAAAGACAAACTCATTATTCTGTTCTCTACCCTCATTTTCCTACTTTTTGAATAACAAAACAATCAACCAGTCTAACCTACTCTCTCTATCTTTTCCATGTTGATTGGTCTGATTATCATTTTCCAAGTCATCCAGCGATAAGTTAGAAGGAAATAGGTGTAAGATCAGAGGTTGGGCACAGTGACTCATGCCTGTAATCCCAACACTTTGGGAGACCAAAGCGGGAGATCACTTGAGATCAGGAGTTCAAGACCAGCCTGACCAACATGGTGAAACCCTGTCTCTACAAAAAATACAAAAATTAGCTGGGCATGGTGGCAGCCACCTGTAATCCCAGCTACTTGGGAGGCTGAGGCAGGAGAATCACTTGAACCTGGGAGGCGGTCATTACAATGAGCCAAGATCGTGCCACTGCACTCCAGCCTGAGTGACAAAGTTAGACTCTGTCTCAAAAAAAAAAAAAAAGACTAGAAAAAAGACTAGAAAACATCCAAAATAATTGCAGTGTAAGTCAGAGTAAAGTTACTTAGTTTTAACTATGTAATCTTTTCTCTCAGACCCCCAGGTTTCTTTCTAATATACTTAACTGATCTTTCACATTTTTCGGATTGTACACAGGTCTGCAATTAAGGCCTTACGTCCTGGAGGGATACTTGTATACTCTACATGCACACTTTCCAAGGCAGAAAATCAAGATGTGATCAGTGAAATTTTAAACTCCCACAGTAACATCATGCCTATGGACATTAAAGGAATAGCAAGGACTTGCTCCCACGACTTCACATTTTCTCCCACTGGCCAGGAATGTGGGCTCTTAGTGATTCCAGATAAGGGCAAAGCCTGGGGCCCAATGTATGTAGCCAAATTGAAGAAATCATGGAGCACAGGAAAATGGTGACATGAATTTGTAAACCATGTTTATGTGTTATTATATTTATTTTTCTGAACTCAGTACATTTAAATAAATATTTAAATAATTATGCAGTAACTTTCTCTGGGTCTGTTTGGAATCCTATTTAGTTAATACTTTAGTGTCTTAGAATCTAGGCTTGAGAATCGTTCAGGTGTATTTTTTTCCTAGAAATATATCTGCAGCAATGATTTAAGGTGGTGCAGATGGTGTTTGTTCTATATAATAAATCTGCTGTCTTTGCTTGGCATTTTATAGTTAAATTAATCAGAATATGTGGTTTTATGCATAACATGCTTAGATCTGTATTCTCTCTATGATAGTGCTTTGAACCTTCAAAAATGCACACTTGCCAACGCTTCTGACCATTTTCCCCCATATCAAATGTACAGATTTGTTCAAGGTTCCCTCGGCCACACTTTTGTAACTGATTGTCTCAGAACTGATTGGTATTCTGAGACTAACTTTTTAAGCAATACTATTTCTAGTTCTAGCAAAATAGCTTTTTTATTTGCAAAGTTGTTTTCTGTTAAAGACTATCTTATGTTTACTGCGAAGGTCAGTGACTCTGTTGACACCAGCTTTATTTCCCCCACTTTTTTTGCATTCGCAAATACAAATTGAAAGGGTAAATTATGTTGAAAGGCCTTTAAAACAGCAGATTCACATGCACATGTTTGACTTTCGACATTCAGCTTATAGAATTATGGAGTCTATCCAGCAGGCTATAAAGCAAGTGCTTGAGACAAAACCAGAATGATTAATAACTGCAATAACTGAGCTATATTTGGAGGGTTTTGTTACATAATTGCAGTCATAATGAGCACTACAGAATCTGATTATCTTACATTCACAATCTGGAAGGGCTTTTTATTTCACTTTGTTATAAAATGTTCTATGAGAATATGATGTCACATATTAATGCACAAGATGGAGATGCCTAATGAGAGTGGATTATGTGATTACCAGAACCCAATGCCATTTACTAAGTGGCTCTCTATGTTTACATAAATCGTGGGAATACTGTATACATTTCTTTCTATGTTCTTAGGGTTTTAGCTTTGGTTAGAATCACACGTTTTCTCCAGAAATTACTTCACTTAGAGTCCAAACATATTTTTCCAACTATTAAGAAAAATTATGCAGCACATCTCAAAAGATAGCATCTCTTTGGAAACCGGCCTTTAAAAAAAAAAAAAAAAAAACTTCATCTGATTATAGAAATACAAAATTCTGCTAAAGCTGGATACTTTTGAATTGTTCATTACATTCTGTGCATTTAAACTAGAGACTATTTGCTTATTAATATTTTTTGGTTTGCAAGCATATGTAACCGAGTTCATATCATCAGGAAGTCTTAGGAAGAATTTTTTTTTCTGTACCTTAAATGTGTTAATCATTTGTTTTTCTTTATGTCCAACTGATATGTTTAAAGTAAAGCTAAAGGCCAGGCACAGTGGCTTACACCTGTAACCCGAGCACTTTGTCAGGCCGAGGCAGGGGGATCTCCTGAGGTCAGAAGTTCGAGACTAGCCTGCCCAACATGGTAAAATCCCGACTCTACTAAAAATACAAAAGAATTAGCCAGGAATGGTGGCTGATTACAGGCGGGCACCTGTAATCGCAGCTACTTAGGAGGCCGAGGCAGGAGAATCACTTGAACCCAGGAGGCAGAGGTTGCAGTGAGCCAAGATCTCACCATTGCACTCCAGCCTGGGCGACAAGAGTGAAACTCTGTAGCAAATAATAATAATAATAATTAAATAGAAATAAAGTAAAGCTGGAACTCTTGGACCAAATCAATAAAGTAAAGCTAGAACTCTTGAACCAAATCAAGTATATTGGGTAAATACAGAAGGGCAATGATGGTAGAAATGATGTTTTCTTTTTTAAGTTGTCATTATTTGTTTTTTTATCTTCAGACACAATAGGTTTTAAAAATAGGTTTCTTTTGTGTAGGTTAATCACAGAGTAAATCTGCACACTGTACTTTGTTGGATGTCATTATTTTCCCAGTATACCCAGTATAATGTGATGAAGCTTAATCTGAATACTTGGTGTGCTACTGAATTATAGCTTCTTATGATTACTGAAAAATGCATGTATCTGTGTTTGTGTGTGTATATATATAATTTTATTACTTAAAGCAATTGCACCAAAACCAAAAATTGACAAGTGGGATCTAATTAAACTAAAGAGCTTCTGTACAGCAAAAGAAACTATCAACAGAGTAACAGACAACTTACAGGATGGGAGGAATATTTGCAAATTATGCATCTGCCAAAGGTCTAATATCCAGAATCTATAAGGAACTTAAATCAGCAAGCAAAAAACAAATAACGTTATTAAAAACTGAGCAAAGGACATGAATAGACATTTCTCAAAAGAAGACATCCAAATGGCCAACAAACATTTGAAAAAGTGCTCTTCATCACTAATCATCAGAGAAATGCAAATCAAAGCACACTGAGATAATATTTTACACCAGTCAGAATGGCTATTATTAAAAAGTCAATAAAATAAAAAAAATAACAGATGCTGGTGAGGCTGTGGAGAAAAGGACCTGCTTATACACTGTTGGTAGAAATGTAAATTACTTCAGCCTCTGTGGAAAGCAGTTTGGAGATTTCTCAAAGAACTTAAAACAGGATTGCCATTTGACCCAGCAATCCCATTAGTGGGTGTATACCCACAGGAAAACAAATTGTCCTACCAAAAAAAGACGTATATGCTTGTGTGTTCATCACAGTAATATTCACAATAGCAAAGATGTGGAATCACCCTAACTGCCCATCAACAGTGAATTGAATAAAGGAAATGTGGTACATGTACCCCGTGTGATATTAACACAGTGATAAAAAAGAATGAAATCATGTCTTTTGCAACAACATGGATGCAGGTGGATGCTTTTCTCCTAAGCAAATTCAGGAACAGAAAACTAAATATTAATACATGTTCTCACTTATAAATGGGAGCTACACATTAGGTATACATGGGCATAAAGAAGGGAACAGTAGACACTGGTGATACTAGAGTGGGGAGGGAAGGAGGGAGGTGTGGGCTGAAAAACTACCTGTTGGGTACTGCACTCACTACCTGGGTGACGGGATCATCTGTACCCCAAACCTCAGCATCATCCAGTATACCCATGTAACACACCTGTTCATGTATCCCCTGAATCTAAAAAGTTGAAATTATTTTTTTAAATGAGAAGATAAAAAAAAATTATAATGAAATAGATAACATTTATTGAGCATTGAATATTCTGTAAATTGTTTATATATGTTGTCTTTTTTTTTTTTTTTTTTTTTTGAGGTGGAGTCTCACTCTGTCACACAGGCTGGATGGAGGGCAGTGGCGTGATCTCAGCTCACTGCAACCTCTGCCTCCTGGGTTCAAGCAATTTTCTGCCTCAGCCTCCCAAGTAGCTGAGATTGCAGGCACCCGCCACCACGCCTGGCTAATTTTTTTGGTATTTTTAGTAGAGATGGGGTTTCACCATCTTGGCCAGGTTGGTCTTGAACTCCTGACCTTGTGATCCACCTACCTTGGCCTCCCAAAGTGCTGGGATTACAGGCGTGAGCCCCTGCGCCCTCTGTATATGTTGTCTTTATTGATGTTTAAAACAAACTCAGGAATAAATATTATAACCCCCTTTTGTGAATGAGAAAACCAAAGCTCAGCTCTGTTTGTAGTTTGCCAAGGCTACACTGGTAAGTAAAGGGTACAGCCAATAGACTGTATAGATATATGAAGATAGACTGTATAGCTATATGAAGATAGACTGTATAGATATATGAAGTGGGGATGGGGGCCAAGGAGCCATTACTGCTGTTTGGAAATACTTACCTCTCGTAGATCCAGCTTTAATGTTTTTCTGACATCCTAATAATAGCAGACCCTGCACAAAGTGGTTATCAGGGTTAATACTGTGAAGAGACAAAATGATTAGAATAGTTTTACCAAAGATAATGAAATCTTGCATAGTGTCTGCGTTTTTCCATTGATTGGAGTGCATCCTTAGAAAACCGAATGTAACGAAAACCCAGGACATTTTTGGAAATTGTATGCTTTCTAGCAACTTTATGTGAATTTTTATACAAACACTGTTTTATGAGTTATATAAAATGTTCTAAAACTAGAAAAAGCATGGTCTGGTAACATGTTACTTTCTTAGAGCACTGGTTTCTCAGAACATCTTTCTGCATGGCCTCCTCACCCCCATCCCAGGGGAGAACATGAATTTTCTGGGGGATTTCACCCTCTGGGGCTTCCGCACTCTGGGTGTCAGGAGTACAGCTCACAGGCTTTCAGTTTGGCCACAGCTGAATGATTGAGAACTTACCAGATAAATCTTCCAAACCCATTTCTCCACAAACCACTTCCTGGCCATGCAGTGGGAGGCTCGTTTGACCTTCGTTAACCTTTCCTGGTCAGGTGCCAGGCCAGTCCTGCAAAGCCAGCAGAGTTTCATTTTCATTTAAACCCTTTTTTTTTTTTTTTTCACTTTGAATCAAATGGAATTTAGTTCCTCCCACTGCCCCCAACCCAGCTAGAGTGCAGTGATGTCGTCATGGCTCGCTGCAGCCTCAACTTCCTGGGCTCAAGTTACCTTTTTGCCTTAGTCTCCTAAGTAGCCTGGACTACAGGTCCACACTATCATGCCTAGCTAATGTTATTATTATTATTGTAGAGATATGACCTCACCAGGCTGGTTTCAAATCCCTGGCCTCAAGCGATCCTCCTACTTCAGCCTCCCAAAGTAGTGGGATTACATGTGTGAGCCATTGTGCTCGACCTCATGTATTATTATTTGTAAAAAAAGGATGCATGTTTTCCCTCACCTTCTCTTCTCTTTGGCTAATTATAAATCATTAAACTTCATATGTCATAGTTAAAGGGTAGAACCATGATCAAAACCGGTTCCAACACCCAGGCCTTTTTCCCAACACTGTGCTGTCTCACAGAGTGGAGGTTATTTGAACCCTCAAGATTATTAACTGACTTTACCCCTATTTTCCATTGTTCAGTTTCCTCCTTTTGTGTAATACCCTATTCCCAGGGAATGAAAGGATTAATCAATACTTGGGGAAAAAACAACCTTTGAACTGTTTCAGGCCATAGTCTAAAGAAGTGTGTCTTGTGATTTTGATACCCGGAAATCTCCAGTGGAGGGTATTCTCTGCCTTCCTTTTCTTTGCAGATGCTGAGCTGAAGAATGGGAATCTGGAGCAGACTTGCAGTGTCGGTTGTAAAGCAAAGAGTAATTGATATTAGTTTCTGTGACATTGA